AGGACCTTGCATCTAGAAGAGGATGAAAAATGCTTGGCTGTATTTTAATACTCTAAAAAGAGTAACTCAATTTGTCTCCTTTCCCTAATTTTTTCATTTTCACTAATCGCAAAGTTATAACTACCTCTTCTTGTGAAAACTGACCCTAAGTTACAGGATTCTAAAGGTGCTTTAAAAAAAATGTACTCTTCTCTTGAAGACTTTCTTAAAATATGAAACACTTCCTAGATAAAAGCAGATGTAAGAGGTGAAAAACTTGTTAAACTCACGGAAGTGAAGTCACTCATCACGTCTGACTCTTTGTGACTCCATGGACTGTAGCCCCCAGGCTTCTCCATCTATGGAGTTTTACAGGCAAGAATACTGGAGTGGGTTGCGATTTCCTTCTCCAGGGCATCTTCCCCACCCAGGTCTCCTGCATTGAAGGCAGACGCTTTACCCTCTGAGCCACCAGGAAAGTTAAGAAGCAATTCTTGCTTCTTGATATTTCCTTTGCATCCACATCCTGTAAAGTTGCTTATTTAATTTAAAGAAAATGTAATCAGTTATTATTTTAAATAAAATTTACTTTATATATAAGGTGGTTGGCAATTAACTAAGATTATTTCTTGAAACCTTTGGAAACTGCAGAGCTTTGAGTTACATTTTAATGAATAAGGAAGGGAAATAACTACTTTATTAAACATATGCTGAATATCAGACAACTTTAAGTAATTTCTATATGTTTTCTGATTTGAAGACAAGTCTATTAGTTTGAGTGTTCTCATTTCACAGATGAGGAAATGGAAATAGAAATAAATTTATCTCAAGATCACAAGGTCAACAAGTAATAAAGCTGGAGTTTAGACCAAATCTGACTAATCTAAAAGGCCAATGGGTTATTCTACTGGTTTTCTCAAATGTTAGATTGATATTGATTGATATAATCAGTCTCTAATATTATGAAATATTAACAATTTCAAAACTGATTTTAAAAACACTGTCATTTCTTTTTGGTAAGTGGTTCCTCAGCAATGCACATATTAATCTTTTAAAAAATTCCTCTCTCAAACCCAGTTGAAATTCTGCTTTTGCTACTAGCTATCTTCCATATTCCTTATCCCAAGAGGTATTTTTTTATCTTTCCATTTATTTTTATTAGTTGGAAGCTAATTACTTTACAATATTGTAGTGGTTTTTGTCATACATTGACATGAATCAGCCACGGATTTACATGTATTCCCCATTCCGATCCTCCCTCCCACCTCCCTCTCCACCCAATCCCTCTGGGTCTTCCCAGTGCATCAGGCCTGAGCACTTGTCTCATGTGCATCCAACCTGGGCTGGTGATCTGTTTCACCCTAGATAATATATATGTTTCGATGCTGTTCTCTTGAAACATCCCACCCTCGCCTTCTCCCACAGAGTCCAAAAGTCTGTTCTGTACATCTGTGTCTCTTTCTGTTTTGCATATAGGGTTATTGTTACCATCTTTCTAAATTCCATATATATGTGTTAGTATACTGTATTGGTCTTTATCTTTCTGGCTTACTTCACTCTGCATAATGGGCTCCAGTTTCATCCATCTCATTAGAACTGATTCAAATGAATTCTTTTTAATGGCTGAGTAATATTCCATAGTGTCTATGTACCACAGCTTCCTTATCCATTCATCTGCTGATGGGCATCTAGGTTGCTTCCATGTCCTGGCTATTATAAACAGTGCTGCGATGAACATTGGGGTGCAAGTGTCTCTTTCAAATCTGGTTTCCTCAGTGTGTATGCCCAGAAGTGGGATTGCTGGGTCATATGGCAGTTCTATTTCCAGTTTTCTAAGAAATCTCCACACTGTTCTCCATAGCGGCTGTACTAGTTTGCATTCCCACCAACAGTGTAAGAGGGTTCCCTTTTCTCCACACCCTCTCCAGCATTTATTGCTTGTAGACTTTTGGATAGCAGCCATCCTGACTGGCGTGTAATGGTACCTCACTGTGGTTTTGATTTGCACTTCTCTGATAATGAGTGATGTTGAGCATCTTTTCATGTGTTTGTTAGCCATCTGTATGTCTTCTTTGGAGAAAGGTCTGTTTAGTTCTTTGGCCCATTTTTTAATTGGGTCTTTTATTTTCTGGAATTGAGCTGGAGGAGTTGCTTGTATATTTTTGAGATTAATCCTTTGTCTGTTGCTTCGTTTGCTATTATTTTCTCCCAATCTGAGGGCTGTCTTTTCATCTTGCTTACAGTTTCCTTTGTTGTGCAAAAGCTTTTAAGTTTCATTAGGTCCCATTTGTTTATTTTTGCTTTTATTTCCAATATTCTGGGAGGTGGGTCATAGAGGATCCTGCTGTGATTTATGTCGGAGAGTGTTTTGCCTATGTTCTCCTCTAGGAGTTTTATAGTTTCTGGTCTTACATTTAGATCTTTAATCCATTTTGAGTTTATTTTTGTGTATGGTGTTAGAAAGTGTTCTAGTTTCATTCTTTTACAAGTGATGGACCAGTTTTCCCAGCACCACTTGTTAAAGAGGTTGTCTTTTTTCCATTGTATATTCTTGCCTCCTTTGTCGAAGATAAGGTATCCATAGGTTCGTGGATTTATCTCTGGGCTTTCTATTCTGTTCCATTGACCTATATTTCTTTCTTTGTGCCAGTACCGTACTGTCTTGATTACTGTGGCTTTGTAGTAGAGCCTGAAGTCAGGCAGGTTGATTCCTCCAGTTCCATTCTTCTTTCTCAAGATTGCTTTAGCTATTCAAGGTTTTTTTGTATTTCCATACAAATTGTGAAATTATTTGTTCTAGTACTGTGAAAAATACCATTGGTAGTTTGATAGGGATTGCATTGAATCTATAGATTGCTTTGGGTGGTATAGTCATTTTGACAATATTGATTCTTCCAATCCCAAGAGGTATTTAAAAAAATATAGAAAACTATTCCTCATCTGTCATCTTGATAGATTTATCTTGACAAAAATTAAGTTTCCAAGGAAAGGTAAAATCATTCAAATTTCTCAGGGGACATAAGTCTATTGTGTGTAATATAGGATACTTTCTTTTGAAATTAAACATATCTCTATCATGGAGGATATATTTATCTTTAAGCTTTGAGACTATCATTACATGTTCCCCCTTTCACAGCAAATGTGTGAGTCACCTAATTTTTTGAAGAAATGATTTTTTCTTTCCATCCTTTCTCTATACTTCTGAGTTCACATTATAAGGGAAGGGAAAACCAGTGCTCATGATGAGGTAATAGTTTTCATTGTTCACCTGCTCTCCTTAGCACCACTCTTGAGATTTCAAAGGATAAAAGAAAATGCAGCACCCAAAAAGTAAAACAAAGCCAAGGGAAATAATTAGAAGGGGAAGAGAGACACACACCCTTGTGGCTCAGCTGGTAAAGAATCCGCCTGCAAAGTGGGAGACCTGGGTTCAATCCCTGGGTTGGGAAGATTCCCTGGAGAAAGGAAAGGCTACCCGCTCTAGTATTCTGGCCTGGAGTATTCCATGGACTGTAGAGTCTTTGGGGTCGCAAAGAGTCAGACAGGACTGAGCAACTTTCACTTTCACTTCAGAGATACACAGTCATATTTCCACCATTCAGCTCGAGAGGAATTCTTAATGTACTTAAGGATTAATATAAGCTATATCTTTATTCTATTTAAAGGTCAATAATTGATGATCTCTGAAGTTTAACTTCATGTTCAATCAGTACTAACAAAGACATGCTTTGCTTACACATGTCTATAGCTTGTTGTAATCTTAGAAAATATTTTTATACATTTATGGTGATATTTCAAAACCTAGGGGTTTTCCTACCATCTATTGATATAATTGAAAGCAAATATTTTCTATTCATAAGCTCGAGTTATAAGGAACTTTCATTCAGATGTTATCAAAACAGAACCTGAGTCTGAGTAACCTCCCTTTCTCACATAATTCTCCAGACATTTTTTCTAATAGATTTAGTTAACTAAATGAATTCTATTGACTTGTGATCTTAAACAATGATAAATTATGTGCTTGATTAAGCATGTGAATTATCATGCCTGGTATTTATTATATGACTTTTTATATGACTTTTCACCTAAACATTGTCCCAATATATAATGTAGCAAAATAAGGTAAAAATTTAATTAAATGATGTCTTATAGAAGACACTCAAATGAGGCTTAAAGAAATCAATATGCATAATAGAGAGATACTGTAATTTTGTGCCATGGCATTTGTTCTGGACTTCAGTATCTGTTCACCATCATCTTCCTAAGCAGACTACTCAAATCATAGCTATTACAGTATAGCAGTTGTTGGTCCTGCACTCAGATTCTTTTCACTGGGGAAGCAGACTGAACCTAGTTTCTAGGTGACACTACCATCTTTTCTCAGCCTTTCATTTTGCTGTCCACCTTCTCACTTTTTCTTGTTGGAATATCTTCTTAGTTAATCATTTATAAGAATTCTATCTTGGACAGAAAATTGTAGGCATTTACTTCTCTTTTGGTCATAACACCATGAATATTTTCCCAATATTTGTCTTCCCAATTAAATTTTCAGATATAGATGCTAATTTTCAATGAATTTAAACTTCATTGAGATAGAATTTCAACCAATTTCTAAAGATTAAGTATCCTTTCCCATCCCACTAACTGAAAAATCTGTCTTTTTCTCCTGGTGGTTTTAGAGGACGTGCTGAATTAAATGAATGCAGGAAATCTGTCTGCAGTGTCAGAATTTGTGCTTCTGGGACTTTGCCAGTCATGGACTATGCAGGTCTTCCTCTTACTGATGTTTTTTATGCTTTACCTGATCATTGTACTTGGAAACATTGCCATCATAATCTTAATCATCACTGACCCCCATCTGCATTCTCCCAAGTAATTCCTATTGGCCAACCTGTCCTTTGTTGATATGTGGCTTTGCTCAGTGACCACTCCTAAGATGATCACAGACTTTGTCAGAGAGAACAAGACTATTTCCTTTGGAGGCTGCATGTGCCAGGTCCTCTTTGTGCATTTTTTTGGAGGGGATGAGGTGGTGCTATTGGTGGTAATGGCCTATGACCGCTATGTGGCCATCTGCAAGCCACTCCACTATTCAACCATAATGAACCTTCAAAAGTGCATTGGGCTTGTGGTGACTTCCTGGACCATTGGCTTTGTGCATGCCGTGAGTCAAATGGTTGTGAATGTGGGATTGCCCTTCTGTGGCCCCAGGGAAATCGACAGTTTCTTCTGTGACATACCACTGGTAATTAAGCTTGCCTGCATAGACACTTATAACTGGGGGATATTAATGAATGCTGACAGTGGAGTTCCAACCATGACATGCTTTATAGTGTTGTTGATATCCTACACATATATTTTTCTTACTGTTTGCCGAAGCTCTAAAGCTGGCACCTCTAGGGCACTCTCTACCTGCACTGCCCACATCACAGTGGTGCTGCTCTTCTTTGGGCCCTGCATCTTCATCTATGTGTGGCCACCCAGCATTACCTGGGTGGACAAATTTCTTGCTGTATTTTACTCTGTTATTACACCTCTTCTAAATCCAGCCATTTATACCCTGAGAAATAAAGAGATAAAAATTGCTATAAAGAGATTCAGAAGCTACTACATACATCCCAAGGGAAATATTTAATGCCCAGAAACCTCACTGGAAGCACTTCAAATTGACAATATACTGACCTTAAAAAAGAGGTTGAACATTCTAGGCATTCAATTTATATCTACATGTTATGCCTGTCTCCAAGTACAGGAATAGGGTTAATAAAGTTCATGGAATTTTAACATTTACTAATCAACCAGTAGAACACCACAAAATGTTTCCCTAAAACTCAACACAAATAGTTCTTCTTTGTCAGGGAATTGTCTAATTAGCTTTCCTATTCCTTTAACTGTATTAAGTGAGAAGCTAAAATTCATTCAATAAAGCTATACAGCCATTCTGATGGATAACATCTTAATAAACGTCTTTAGAATTTTCTCCTAACTCCATTTGGAATGTGTTTCTGTAACACTGACTCTTTTCCTCAGACTTTTCACTTAACCTCTTGTCAACTGAATCACTGTTTAGCTTAACTCTCTACCCAAATACTAATGGAAAGCAGTAGGGGAAAAATAAAGAGAGAATGACAGTGGTACAGTACATAGGAATGACAGTGGACACTAGAATAACAGCAGAAGATATTCTGTGTTTGGTTTCCATTAACTCAATAAAAGAAAAAAAAAACCAAATGATGTTTCTTTTGATTATCTGAGTCTCAAGGATTAACATTTATACTTTGAATATATTAACCATTGGTTTAGAAGTCCTGAAATTGTAGACTCCTTAATGGTAGGGGCTACGCCTTACCTGGTTAATTCTTGAAACTGCAGTACTTAGTACTTGTAATCAACATTCAAGAAATATATTTTAATTGATATATAAAGGGCCATTTTTTAAATTCAAATATCAATACCATTTATCAATCATGGTGTATTTAAGTACAGTTTTTTTTTCATGAATTAAAAATTCCTAAAAATTTTAAATGATAAATAAACTTTGCTTTCCTTTAAAGGAATAAATTAAGTAAATTGAAATTCAGTTGTAAGAATCAACAATAGAAGTCCTAAAATAAAAATATGGTACATTTAGAAATTTAATTTCTCTTAATATGGAAACAAAAACAGAAAAATGGCAGAATAAAAGTGATGTACTTACATAACAATGATGTATCAGAGAATGAAAGCAAAAAAAAAAAAATTCCATTTAAAATTGTGTCAAAAGTAAAAGACCAAAAAAATAAAAAATTAAAATACCTAGGAATAATTTTAACCAAGGAGGTGAAAAATCTGTATTTTGAGAACTATAAAATTCTGATAAAGGAAACTGAAACTTATTCAAAGGAATAGAAAGATATCTCATACTCTTAGATTGGAAGAATTAATACTGTTAAAATGGCTATACCACCCAAAGCAATCTACAAATTTACTGTGATACTTTTCAAAACATTCATAGCATTCTTCACTGAACTAGAACAAACAATCCTAAAATTTGTATGGAACCACAAAAGACAAGAATTGCCAAGCAATCCTGAAGAAAAAGAACAAAGCTGGAGACATAACCCTTCTAGAATTCAGACTATACTATAAAGCTACAGTATCAAAAGAGCATGGCATTGGGACAAAATAGACATATAGGTCAATGGAACAAAACAGAGAGCCTAGAAATAAAAGTACAGCAATCCCACTTCTGGCCATATATCCAGAAAACATGAAAACTTAATTTGAAAAGATATATGCACCCCAATGTTCATAGGAACATTATTTACAATAGCCAGGACATGGAAACAAACCAACTGCTCATCAACAGAAGACTGATTTAAGAAGATGTCTCACACACACACACTGGAATATTACTCAGATACAAAAAAGAATGAAGTATTGTCATTTTTAACAAAATAGCTGAATATAGAGAAAATCATACTAAGTGAAATGAGTCATGGAGAGAAAGACAACTATTATATGCTATCCCTTCTGTGTAGAAATGTGTAGAATATAAAAATAATACAAATGAATCTAGGCACAAAACAGAAACTGACTCTCAAAAGAAACATACTTAGAGTTACCAAAGGGGAAAGGATTGGAGGAGGGATAAATGAGGAGAATGGAATTAACAGATACAAAGTATTATTCATAAAATAGATAAGCAAGGATTTACTATATATCACATGGAATTTTATGCAATATCTTGCAATAACCTATAAAAACATATATTGAGCATATATATATGTATACATATATAACTGAATCACTTTGCTGTACACCTAAAACTAATACTGTATAATATTATAAACCAAATATGCTTCAACTAAAGTGAAAAAATTAAAACAACTTTAGCAAAAAAATAGTACTTATCATCCTTGAATGCCTACTCTATACCACTGTTATGTTTATTATATAAACTTACTATTATTACATTATCCAAATTATGGATAAGAAAATGAGACTCAGAAATATGAAATACAGTTCCTCAAGATAGTACAATTTAATTTTTTCTCCACTTAAGGATTCAAAGATCAATCTGATTCCAAAATCTTTCATTTATTATATGACACTACACAGTACAATAGAAAATTATTCCTGAGAGTGAAATAATTATGCCAAGAATAAAATATTAGAGTGTCTCTATCAATATAACTGTATAAAAATACGGGGAGTAATATGGTTTGCAAGCTAATTTTATCATGAAGTGAAAGTTGGGAATGGAAGAAACCTCACCAAGAACATGCCTGCACAGAGCCGGTGCCAAAAGACTAAGAGCCAACCACAGGGCTGTCTCTATCTGGGGCGGTCGCCTCAGTTCTTTCTCAGGGGTAGGCCCATTCATTTGCTGCACTGTCATCTCTGTATTTTTGATGCATCTTTTATCCTACCTAGAATAATGGGTATCTTTTTATTTCTCTCAGTCTTTAAAAAATAAACCTCAAGTAAAATTTGTATGAATTTTCTAATATTCTGAAGATAGAATGGCATAAGGATGAAAAATCCAGCTTATATTGTCTTGTAATATAATTTGCCACAACAAACACAAGTATCACATGCTCTCAACTCAAACATTATAGTCGCTTTCATACCATCTGGCATTACTTTTCACACACTTATCAGAAAGGCAAATTCTCCTTAATTCTCACTGGTTTCTTTTATAATCATCCTCACAGATATTAATCAGTGGGATGCATAGTTTTATACATTCTCTAGCCAAACTTAAATGGCCAATTCAGTTCAGTTCAGTCACTCAGTCGTGTCTGACTCTTTGCGACCCCATGAATCGCAGCACTCCAGGCCTCCTTGTCCAAAACAAACTCTAGGAGTTTACTCAAACTCATGCCCATGAGTCGGTGATGCCATCCAGCCATCTCATTCTCTGTCGTCCCCTTCTCCTCCTGCCCCCAATCCCTCCCAGCATCACGGTCTTTTCCAATGAGTCAACTCTTCGCATGAGGTGGCCAAAGAATTGGAGTTTCATCTTCAGCATCAGTCCTTCCAATGAACACCCAGGATTTATCTCCTTTAGGATGGACTGATTGGATCTCCTTGCAGTCCAAGGGACTCTCAAGAGTCTTCTCTAACACCATAGTTCAAAAGCATCAATTTTTCGGTGCTCAGCATTCTTTAGAGTCCAACTCTCACATCCATACATGACCACTGAAAAAAAAGCCTTGACAAGACAGACATTTGCTGGCAAAAGTAATGTCTCTGCTTTTTAATATGCTATCTAGTTTGGTCATAACTTTCCTTCCAAGGAGTAAGTGTCTTTTAATTTCATGGCTGCAGTCACCATCTGCAATGATTTTGGAGCCCAAAAAATAAAGTCTGACACTGTTTCCACTGTCTCCCCATCTATTTCCCATGAAGTGATGGGACCGGATGCCATAATCCTAGTTTTCTGAATGTTGAGCTTTAAGCCAACTTTTTCACTCTCCTCTTTCAGTTTCATCACGAAATGGCCAGTAGTCAGTCTTAACTTCCAAGTTAGTGAAAATACTATCTACTCTGGTGGAAGTATTCAAATTGGTAGGTGGGAAGCAAACATTTTGTGAGTGGGTTATGAAGCATCAGAGTATAAAGATTAACTATAACTTCCACATTTTGATTCCAGAATCAGAGAATGAAAATATTACCTCCCAAAAGACTCATAAGGAAGTCTTCAGTATGCCATCTTACCACTTATTAGATCAGCTATTTATGGGTGATTAAGTACGCTATGATTCATAAATTCCATGACCACAAATTCACTTCTATAATCATTGTTGTTGTTAATTGCTTTGCTATAAAATAAACTTGATCAAATGCAGTGATAGCAATACATGATTTCTGACCATGGTTATTTTGTACAAAATCCTATTTAGCAAGCACCAGAGATGACTGGAAAAAGAGGTGAGCATGCATAGAATTTATTAGTCTACTACTAAAGTTTCCTCTATAATGGATACCCTTTGGTAAGTATACACCAGACACAGATTTTTCATAATCTGTGACCATTCTGAGAGATCAATTACCACCAATTCTCCCCAGGGAATTCTTTGCCCACAGTCTTCCAGTTCTATTTAAGTTCTGATCATCTAACTAAACCATTAATAACTTTTCATGAATTAGTATATATGTATGCTTCTAGCCAAACAAAGTGGAAAACCAAATACATTGCTTGCATTTCTTTCAAATGGGAAAATTTCTTATTAGTGTTTTTCAGAACCATAATCAGAATACTGACAATGTGCATGCTAAGTTGCTCAGTTGTGTTCAAGTCCTGATTGTAGCCCACCAGGATCCTCTGTCCATGGATTCTCCAGGCAAGAATATTGGAGTGGGTTACCATGCCCTCCTCCAGGGTCTCTTCCCAACCCAGGGATCGAACCCACATCTCTTACATCTCCTGAATTGGCAGGTGGGTTCTTGACCACTAGCACCACCTCGGAAGCCCAAATACTAACTACAATTGAGTTATATTCAACCATAATACGTCACTAAATTGAGACAGTAAAGCTGTAGACTTTTACTCCTAGTTGCTACCAACATATCATGGAAAACCATCTGTATGTTCAGGCCTAAATTTTAAATTTTCATTCTACTCATTATAAGGAATTCTCTGTGTTAACT